TTGTCCCCGATGTTGTCCGCGCGAAATTAAGGACTTAAAAGTAAGTGTTCTTCCAGATTATGTCTTCTGTGCCATTTTTTTAGATATGTTATACTTCATCTATCCATCCTTCTATTTAAACTTTCTTATTTATATTACAATGAAAGAATGATACCTGATGTTTGTGTATTTGACGAAAAATTATAAAATCCAACAGCTCTAGTACCTAGTTAATAGAGCCAAATAGCAAGTATATTTCACTATTGATATAAACTATTTGCTTCATATAAAATATGAGTCACCCATCTTAGAGTTATCTATTTTATCTGTACTTATATAATAAAGCATAAACACAAAATACTTCGTACTTCGTGGCAATCACAACATGTATTTGAATAATTCTTTCTTGAATAAAAAGCCCTACACTTACGACACAAACAAATTGAAAAAAAACCTTCATGTTGGTAAGAGAGAATAAACTGCAAGCAGCCAACATTAGGGAAACAAGGTTATTATGGTAACGCTAATTTTTACACTTGCAACTAGGAATTTGACAAATGTAAACAGTAAAATTAAGTTTTCATAATTTCATGCAGATGAAACCGCACGGGGACAGCTAGCAAGTAAATAAGAAAGGGAGATCATTACAATTAAATAAGGCTTGTGTACCACTTATAGATTTCTGTTAATTTATTGACAAAGATTTGTTGCTTAATTACAAATATGAAATAAGTGGGCCGTGGAGATCGTCGACTGCATATTACCGCCAACAAACATTTGCCTTCACTGTTTGTTAATTTATCAGACCTGTTTTTAAACACTTCGTCATAGATTAAACGTTGCCAGAAGCGTACATACTCGAGTAATTTTGCTGAATATTAATAATAGACAATTAATTAATATACCAAGGAAATAACAATAAGTACAATATTTTTAATGTAAAACGCGTAATTTTGAATTTTCCTGAATGTTGATAAACGAAGTCTATGATGTTTTTCTTATCTAAATTACTACTTTACATCGATATGAATACATATTTTTATGTATTACTTCATTCTCCGTTACGCAGTAAATGTAACGTTAATAAGTAGTTATTACTCTTATGTTTTACTTTTCTACTTAAAATGAGATCTGCGTAATATATTCTTTGATATGATTTAAAACTCTCATTTCAAAAAGTACGTACGTCTGAGCACACAAACGTTATGTTTACTATTGTACTGGTATGTGCACACTGATCGACTTTAGATCCTTGCCAATTCTAAGAAAACGTCATTAAATTTAGTGTCATGGTAATGGTTTTCGTGACATTGGCATTTCTGGTACATTTATTATAAACTAGCTTTCGCCCGCGGCACCGTCCGCGCAGAATTAAAAAAAGTAAAAGTAAGTAACCTATGTGTTATTCCAGACTATCGTCTACATTCAAATGCCAAATTTCGTTGAGATTCGTTAAGCCGTTTAGGCTACAATCTCTAACAAACATCCATCCATCCATCTAAACTTTCTCATAGATAAGAGAAGTATAATATCTTTTTAAAAAATCTTAGTAAATTGATGTCTTGGCCTAATTTATTTCAGCTGTCATGTCTTATTGGAAGAATATTCGAGAAAATGGTCTACAAATCGATGTAAGTTTCCATATATACAGTTCCTTGTGTCTCTCCGACTGATATATAATATTTTAACTATGAAGTTCGGAGAATCTACCTTAGGAGCAGTGGAACTTTAATATCGTGTTTCTACTTAGGTCTTAGTAAACGTTATTCTGAGGCATGATTTAACAATCTTTGTGACAATTGTATGAAAACTCGCATACTTTTCTACCAAATTACTTTATGATAGGTCGGCGAATGGTAATTTTATGCCAACAGTTAGGTAAGCGTGTGACGTGAAACGTGCGGCAAATTGGATAATTTACATTCAAACATGACGATTACGTTGTTTCGGAGGACACACGTGGTGTTTATTTCTCTTATGAGTGCAAATATTAGCCGTTTTGTGTACATTGTTTTACTTTTGTATTTATATCCCACAAAATACTGCGTTAATTTATATAATCAATTCAGTCAAAAGTGAGATGCGCTACCAGATTCTGTTTTAGAAAAAATAGAGTGAATTTGTAAATAAAAGCATAAAAGATGTGAAATCATCTAAAAGACGACTAAACATTCAAAAACTAAATGCTAAAGTGATTTTTTTTATGTCCGAAATAACGAATAGTACTCAAGCTGCAGATTTAGATTTAAAAACCATCCTAATTCTTTGATCTTTCTTTGCAAGTAAACTGATCGAATTTCAGAGTAAATGTTCTTAATTTAAAATCGATACTTACCGAGTCAACAATGTTCGGAAACGTGGAATGGATGTTATAAAATGCAAAATAGGTGCACCGGTGTTGTCAATTGCCAGTCGCCGCGCTAAACTAAATTCTATTACGTTTTATGGCGTTAAACTTTACAACGAATATGTTCGTGTTTCAACTTCCCTGTTTTCATCAAACATAGGTTACTAGCTATCGCCCACGACTACGTCCGTGCGGAATTCAATCTTACTTATATTACTCTTATAAATGTGAATGTTCAGTTGGATGGATGTTTGTTAGAGTTTATAGGCTAAACGGGTGAACGAATTACGATGAAATTTGGCGTATATAGAAGAGGATAGTCTGGAAGAACACATAGGCTACGCAGTTTTGTTTTTTTCAATTCCGAGCGAACGGACACACGGGCAAAAGCTTGTAAAATATAAATCAACAAAGTCAATATACTACAAACAGAAAATATTTACAATTCAACGTGTACATTTGAAAGTGTCAGTCAGTTTTCAGTATGATGTCCTAGGTAACTGTTGATTTAACAATACAGTGGGTAAAATTTAAAGATAATGCATAAAGCAGTAAAACAAGACAATAAAGTGCGAATGAGGCATCGTAATATGAACAGAACAGAATTTACGGTCGCATCAACGTTCATAAAGTCAGTTCGACATATTTCATTTTTCAAATTTGCGAACCCCTACCAAGGTTTATTAAAAGTTTTTACGGGATGTAAACATGTGGGCGCTTATTGGACTTGCTAAGAAATTTGAAATTTGGAACTTAGTATCGGACTCAAATAATAGTCACTAAGGGCGTCTTTCCTAAATCTGCTCTAAGGGATTGTTAAGCAACCATTAAGGACTTTGAGTGCGGTAGCAGTATACATGAACAAGAAAAAAATTAGTTTGTATGTGGCTTTAAAGGCAGAGGAAGACTGAAGACTCTGTAGATAGATTGCGTGAAAGAGGATATGCTTAAGAAGGGAGTGTGTTCAGATGACGGCTGATAGAGTTGCATGGAAGAGCAGTTACTGTGCCGACCCTCAGTAGGGTCAAGGTCAGGTTAACGATGACAAGATACATCATTGTATTAAGACTGAAGTAGATTACCTGTGATATCATACTTTCATACTGATATTATAAATGTGAAAGTTTAGATGGATGAATGGATGTCTGTTAGAGTTTGTAGCCTAAACTGCTGAACGGAATTCGATGAAATTTGGTATATATGTAGAGGATAGTCTGGAAGAACATATAGGCTACTCACTTTTGTTTTTTTTAATTCCACGCGGACGGGGTCGCTGGCGAAAGCTTGTTTAATAAATAGATGTTATTTCTAGTTCTTAGAAAGTACGTATTGTGCTCTAATATGTTGATAACATTTCGACATATTAGATTATTTTATTATTTTAATACTTCTTAAAGTTGATCGAAATGTAGCGTTATAACTTTACTGCATATTAAGTTATCTTGTTAATTTTCTAGCGCATTATAAAATGCAATTTCCTAGATTATCTACAGAGCTGTACTAGTACTTATCCGACTTGTATTCTATTAAGCAATTTATGTTTTACAGCAAGCTCTTATAAACTCGATTTAAATTATTTTATGGAAGTTATTTAATGAGTATGGTTTTTTATTAATGAATTATAAAATAACCTATAATAGTACATATATGGACAGATAGAAATAATGATAAAATTGGTATAAAAAAATTCAGTGTGGATATATGGGTAAAAAACTTAATTACATCTAGCTGTTATGGCTAAGTGATACTTCTAGAAATTTCTTACTCGTCTATGAACTCAACAGAAGAGAGAATTTATTCAAATATTTCTATTCTAATGATTAAAAAAAAGACGATCGGCCAAATCGAACGTTTCGTGGAAAATTCTGAGGTACTCAGGAACTACACGACTGCTTGCAAAATATTTTTTACAACTACCCCCTCATTCATTCCGTTTCCTAGTATTTCCTAACGTTCATCCGTCATTTATTTTTCTGTAGATTTATTAGTTTCAGTGTTTCAAGTGATGATGTGAACATAAATGTGTTAATAATTCTGTGATTAAAGACTTATAAAGGTAAACTTGTTTAGACAGGTTTGTTAAAATTTCTCATTTCAATTAAAATTTACTTTATATACGCTTTACTGTTTAAACTACACTGCGTTTCTAGGTTTTTTGCTCCGAACCTTTTATAATCGGCAGCCATTAACTTATCCTTCTGTCTTTTGGGAATGATTACAATGTATTAACTAGTTTATTTCATTTTTTATTATGTGATTGAAGTAAGCTATTCTAAAATAGATATTTCAGTTTATTTGTGACAAACGCTTTAATCCGAGTAAAAGCATCAGTAATAACTATTGAATACATCGTCACCGATATATCAGCCGGGTTAGCATTCCATCAGTGCGGTTTGCAAGTCCTAAGTCCGAAGTAATGCGTTAGCCTGTTATTAATAATGGCCGCACTTGCCCGCAATAGCATCTGAATTATTCATTTAACGCCTGGGAGGTCGTAGACTTTGTAGATCATAGAGGTTCATTTGAAAGAGGTTATGTTAGTAAAATTACGAATTCTATTTTACAAAGGTTACAAATTGCAAATATCTCAATTGTGTTCATGTGAATAATTTGTGTTTAGTTTTCATTGCCGTAGATTAGAAGTAATTTAATTTAATAAGATGTTTTGTTTCAGGTATCGCGACGATGCATTGTGTTGGTCAGACAGGTATGGACCTTTTCTTTATAAATACTAGATTTTTCTCGCCATTTCTTCTGCGCGGTATTTAAAAACATAGCATGTAGCTTAAGTTTTACCAGAGTATGTTTTACATCTGTGCGAATTTCATTGCAATCCGTAACACCGTTTAAGACACAAACTAACATACATATATCCATCCAAACTTTCGTATTTATAATATTAGTAACTATGAAGTATGATTGCTATAATAGTTTTATAGCTAATTCGCAAAAAATACTTTTTTTAAAGATGGCGCTTATTAATGAAATTTCTAGTAGGTTTTGGTATTGAATGGTGCTATTATTTTTGATTATTTGTAATGTTAGTTTACTAGTAAGAGATTTGTATTCTGAGCAAACAAGCGTTTCTATTCACTGTAGACTTATTTTGGATTATTTTGTAAATTCATTCTCGAATTTTTAGAAGAAAATGAACCGTTTGAATCTCATTTTAATTGCATATCGATGAAATAATAATTGCATATTTATGTAAGAAAATTTTCGATCGAATTTCATGCTAATTTTATGCAAAACGAAACCGAATATAAACTATGCCGAAATTAATGCAAACAAGCGAACTGACCACTGTCGTAATATTTTAATCGCATCGCCCCGTGTACAAATATTTGCTGAAGGACCCGCGTAATCCAAGCGACCTCTAGCGCGGGAATTAAGAGTATATTTATTTATTTGTAAAACTATCATGGCTTAATATTTAGATGTTACGGTTTTCTATTCCATGACGTAGGTTTCGTTTCCAGCCAGTTATTTTTGGCTATTATTATATGTTTTTTTTTGTTAATAGAAAAGAAGCTTAACTTTTGTTATACTTTTTATAAAACATCTCGATTCTGAATTGAATCCTCAACACGTTGCTGTATTTTAATTATTTTACCCTTTTTCTATTGGTAATTCATATTGTTTTAAAGTTTAAAATTAATATCAAATTAACCGCGGGCTCCTAATTTTTATCCTTTTTAGTAATGATATTAAAATTTGCCCGTATGCTTCAAAACCATCATCGTCTATTCAGTGTAGTTGGCATTACTTGAATCTAAGAAAATTTAAAATAAAATTATTAATAAAACATAATAAAGTTTATCTTGTACAACCCTATCTTCTGGGTAAGCGGTCAAGCGAAGGGCCGATGTTTGACGTTAGGGCTACCACGAATTATGCGTATCTGATAGCGCGGCGGACCTCAATTACGGGAGATTTGGGTCCGAGACCGTCGCCTGGCCGTATTCATTGTTGTTTAATTGTTTTTATGGCTTTATTGCGGTCATGTTTCATATTTACTTGCAGTTACACAAAGGAAAATTATTCAACTTCGAATATTACTTTGGCTAAATACCTAAGCTGACTAGATGTTAACTAACTTAGATTATATCACCAAAGTTAGTATATAACAAACGGCAGAGTTTTACATGTATGCAGATTTCAGAATTGGCGCGGTATTTGATATTAGACAAAGTTTCTCATCAAAATTGTACAGAAAATTGGCGTAAAAATATGATATCGTTGGGTGAAAGGCTATTTGTTTTAAGCGCCATTAGGTTAAATGTTCAGGAGAGCCATTTAAAGTCTTCATTTAAAAAAAAAACATAAATACAAATCCTGGAAATCATTTAAATTGAAGGATTTTCATTAAAATTACTATAATTCTGCATACTTCATTATATTTAAAATTCTGAATATATGAGTCAATATCGCGTAAAATGGCGGTTGAATCAAATAGCCTTTCACCCGTCGATATCTCCTTTTCTATACTAAATTTTGTTTCTATTTAACCAAACAATTCTTTAGCATATTTATATTCTATCATACTATCATTTCCTCAGCTTATATATGTTGTAAAAACAAAAGGCAACGTGTAAAACAAATTTTGTTGTTTTATTTAAATTTATCCGATGAGATAGAGACATAAAAACAATCAAACAGCAGTGAGAACAAGCCGGTGCTATTACGTCGCAACGCTTGGTATTTGCGCAATTTTGTTACCGACAGATTGTAAACTTAGTTAATTCGTAGTCTAGCCACAATGACTCTATCGGTAAGCCACAATATATACTTTAACCTGACATTTATAGACAATTTTAATCACCAAATATTAAAGTAATGTAATTGCTTGTGTTTTTATTGTAAGTTAGAACAAAAGCTAATCGTAGGTTGACAGTACACAATATAAATAGTTAAATTACAAACTGTCGAAGTGACCATTCTGTATGCGACACTAAAGTTGACTAGAGCGGTCTTGACAAGCTGTGTTCGTTTGGTAAACACGGCAACGGTTATAAGAGCGCTTTTATTTACTTGTTAATGACATTAATTATTAAAGAATGTAGGCGTCTGTGACCTAAAAAATTCTATATAATTACATATTTTAGCTGAAAATTTATTTAAAAAATAAAATTACGAATCTAATATTGGACGGACTTTGTCAGAAGTCGACATTTCTGAGATGTTCCTTTTGATATTTTATAGAAATTATATAAATATCATACAAATGTAAGCTTAATTGATTGCCTTGACTCTTGTATTTGAATAACTGTCAAAGGCGTGGGAATCACAAACGCTTCGGGAAGTGTTTTGTTTAACCAACTTTTTAAAGTCGTAAATGTTTTACTGCAACGTAATAAGAGTTATATTTGTTTGACTTTTGGTTAATTTACAAATTTTTTGTTTAAAGCCGTCTTTTATATAAAGAGTAGTAAGAGCGGGCCCACACTTTTGATTAAACAATCGAACAATTGTTTTGCGATTGTCGATTGTTTCGCAGCTAATTCAACTGTTTAGTTGCTAAAATAAAAATTGAGTAGTTTGGCACCTCCATATAAGCAATGTTTAAATCCGATATTTCAGAATCTTGCGCTCAATGTTTCGATTATACTTCACTAATTATTATTTCTAGTATTTACTTTTGTATGTGCGATGATCAAAATACCGTAAAAGTAATAGTATAATACCGTAATGATTGAACATTAACGATGAAATACCAGTTTGCGTTACATCGTAAAGTACACACGCTTATTTGCATTTCAACCAGTGTTTATAAAAATCGATCGATCTCCGGCGTGGTTGCCCAAATGATTTTTACATAAAACCTCTTTAGTATTTTCTTTTTTTTTGACTTAAATGTCGTATCCAGCCTGTAGTTAACTTAAACGTCCCAAACTGGCCGCAATTTGCGAAGACCTGAGTAAGCTATAAATCAAGTTAAATTATTTTTTCATTACACGTCCCCTGTCCGGTGCAGGGTTAATATTCTATTAGTGGTGACGTGATGTTTTATTAGTTGATGATAAATTGACTGTCGTTTATTGCACTCACATGAATTGATGTCGAATTTCTGATTAAAGAAATGAGATTTATTATATCGGTAGAACCTCTACAGGACTTCGTATGTAGATTTTTTTTCAGTTAAACTGTACAGTTGTCAGTTTTGTGTACAGTTTGAATTCTACAATTCAACTGGTTCACTTAAAACTGTGCAGTTAAACTGAAGGTATGTAGTACGTTTTAGTCTGAATAATGTAACACTTATAAAAGTTGAGACAGTTTTAAGATCACAAATTTTTAGATTTACTATAAAAATATTGTGCCATGTCTATAAATTATGAAGTCTGTGTCGCAGTCTTATTACGGCAATATGTCGAGACGTTATCAGATGGTCAGAAATTAGCCGGTCGCTTGCCATTACCCCGCTCCGAGCCACTTACAAAATAATAGACGGTGTTACGAGAATTCTGTGTCAAGCATTTTGTTTAAGGCTGCAGAAGATAACTTAGAAATTTAGGATAGGTAACTTTTTTTTTTTTTTATAATATAAGGTGGCAAACGAGCAAGCGGCCACCTGAAACCGCCAAAATGGCGAAGCGACCGCTGCCCATAGACATCCGCAATTGCAGATGCGTTGCCTACCCTTATACGACGGAGGAGGAGATGCATATAAAGAGGATATTTCCCCTTCCTATGCTTCTCCTCCACCGTCAAATCCACTTCCTCTTCCCAACCTCTCCTTATAAGAAAAGGGTGGTAAAGAGAAAGGAACTTAAATTAGGCCTCCGGCACCACACTCATCAGACGAAACACGGAATTGCTTCCATTTCACGCCTGTCTTCTGTGTGGTCGTGGTATTACACCGGGCGTGCCGGCCCGTTCGTGCTAAGATGTTAAAGCGGGCACTACCACTGTTAAACAAAATAAAATTCTTTTATCACTAACGTAGATAAAAGAATTTTATTTCAATAAAATTATGTCTAAACTGGCTTTGCTCTGTTAGCTTTGAAAGCTAACCATTTCTTTGTTCTAGTTTTGTTATAAAATGTATTATAACAGTTACACCTTAGAAAAGTGTAAAACTTGTCACTTCACACTTATTTTTACACCTACATTTTGCGTACAAGAAACACCTGTAACGGTTTTAATGGGAAAATTAATCGATAACCCGATATTAATACCCGGTTTTAAGTTAAAATGAGAGTTATTTTCTAGACGCTAATTTACCTGTCACATTTGATGCCTCAGTTTTATGAGTCTGATAATACTTTAAACCATGTAATTAATAAAGTCTTAAGGTTTATGACTGGACTTGATAATGATACACGAGACAAAAGTTAAAACTATGTTTAAAGGTAAAGTTATACTGTGTTTCAGTGGCGGTCTATTATCATAAAGCAGATAGTTGCGCTACTTACAAGAAAAATAATATAATTGAAGTTTTAATCAATTTAATTGTGACTTCTTTGACTAAACTGTCATACAGCTGTTGTGCGATTGTCAATTGTTTGGCAGCCAATTCAACTGTTTAGTTGCACAACTAAGAATCGAAAAATGCGCACCTCCATAAGCTCATAAGAGTCAAAGCGCAACTAAACAGTTGTACGACAGTATCAAGAAAGGTGGCGCATGCTCTAACTCGAATGTTGAAAATATTGCGAACGATTACAATTTTAGTTACATTATAAAATGAATAAATTCCAAATCGTA